GACCTCTACTCCTCCGCCGCGCGGCGAGCAGTGAGGCGGCGCCGTGTCCGGGGCGGGAATGGCCGAGGGGCGGTGGGAAGCGTCGAGCCGCGGCGGTGGGCACCGGTCGGCAGGGGAGGGACCGGGCCACGCTGTGTCCCCTCGTGCCCCAGGTGTTCTCAGTGAGGTCCGGGGGGAGGAAGGGGCTGCGGTTGCTGTGCCGGGAGCTATGGAGCTCAGCGCTGGCCGTGAGACCTCGCCTGGCAGCAGGCTCTGGGGAGAGAGCAGTCCTGGGCCCCAAGGTGGGGTGACTGTAGGTTTGTGGAAAACAGGAGCCATTCCCGGGTTACCCAGGCCTCTGTTCATGCCATAGAGAGTTTTAGTCTTTTAGAATGAATGAGGAAGTTCCTGGAAGATGGTCCTTTTTTCTGTAATACCATAGAATCACAGAGTGATTGTTTGAGGTTGTAAGAGACCTCTGGAGGTCATCAAGTCCAACCCCCTGCTCAAGCAGGGCCACCTAAAGCAGGTTGCGCAGGACTGCGTCCAGACAGCTTTTGCCTATCCAAGGAGGGAGACTGCACAGCCTCTAGCAGCAACCAGTGCTAGTGCCAGTGCCAGCACAGGGAACAAGTGTTTGCTGACAGAGGGAACCTCCCATGTTTCAGTTTGTGCCCACTGCCTCTGGTCCTGTCACTGGGCACCACTGACAAGAGCCTGACTCCATCCTCTTTGGACCCTCCTTTCAGGTATTTATATATATTGATAAGATCCCCTGAGCCTTCTCTAGGCTGAACAGTTAAGCTCTCCCAGCCTTCCCTCACAGGAGAGGCACTTCAGTCAAGTATGCAAAGGTGTGGCCTCACCAGTGCAGAATAGAGTGGAAGGATCACCTCCCTCAACCTGCAGGCAGTACTTTGCCTAATGCAGCCCAGGATGCCATTCCCCTTCTTTGCAGCAAGGGCCCACTGCTGACTGATGTTCAACTTGGTGTCCATCAAGACCCCCAGGTCATTTTCTGCAAAGCTGCTTTCTTGCTGGGTAGCCCCCAGCATATGTTGGTGCCT